TGTAACTTAATAGAAAATATTAGAAATAACAGATTTTGTCAACTCACTCCAGTATTCAACTAGCCCTGATCTCCCCTGCTAAAAAAATTCTCTTTTCAAGAATATTCTAAGAATTTATCGAAGAAGAAGCTAATTCAACTCTATATACGCCGAAAGAAAATATATCTAAGAAATCTAATAAATATTTATTCGGTGAGTACTAAGAGAGAACACACATATTTACTTTTATACATGCTATAATATATAAAAATATTTCTCCGATAAAAAAATATATGTTTTTCTAAAACCTTAAGAAAGTCTTAGCTTTTCATGAAAATAATTGTTTATTTTATTTAAATAAGAGAATTTATATATTCAAAAGTAAATATCTTGTTAGTATCCACTAAATAAATACTTCCTATTTCTTAAATATTTTTTCTCTCAGTATAATAAGCAAACCAAATTTTTGTTTTAATTATTAAATTATTAATAACAAAAAAGATTTTGTTTTAATATTTTCTTGATTGAAATGCTAAACTCACTAAAATTCAAAATATATTTTGAGCTAATCTGATGTTTTTCAAGCAATCACCTTGTAATAGATTTGTAAATTTATGAAGTACACTGAAAAAAAATTATTTAGAAATTTACTTGTGAGATATAATGTTTATTTCTGTGAAATAAATTTCATTTCTGAGGAACAAAATTAAAATTTCTATGAATAATATTTACATACCATAAATAAATTTTCGAGCTTTCTTTTTCTCAGTCTACTTAAAATAACATTGACTTGAATGTAGTATTTTCTGTGTATGTAGAAGGTGAAAGTATCAATGTCTAGGACACATATCTAATATTGGACATTCTTATTGTTTTATTTTTTAGATCCAAATATCTTTAAACTTTCAACATCAAATATATGTACATATATTGATACAGATATTCTACATCGAAGGTTTAGATATCCGTACTTGAGACAAGAATGTCCAGGATTAGGTACGTGCCTGGAATTAGTACTTCTTGTACCTTACGCAATTCCTATTCTAGAGATAATTAACATTGGCAAAGAACTTGCCACAAACTTGCCACTTCTGATAAGAGCCACAAAGAACAGGTCGTTGGGATTATTTACGCCGAGTGATAACGAGTTTTTCCGGTTGTTAGCAATCAAGTTAGAGGGGCATCGGGTTAGCGAGCGGTCTCGGGTAACTGCACGAAACGAAGAAACACGTTAAACTCCGTCTTTGCCTCTTCGCCGAGCGCCTCCAAGTGGCACCTTGAACAATTCTCCAATAACGGTAACTACGTGTGTTACTTCGGCAACGAAATTCAGCAAGGCGATTACGGTTCAGGGACCGCAGCGCGCTTCTCGAGGAATTGTTTCGAGCGACGTGGATACTTGATTTAGAGAGACTTCCGAAACACGATCCCACTCGATTCATCCCGCCTGCCGGGAAAAGCCGGCCGGGTGGCTACCGACAAAGCCAAATCCGATATCTGGCAACAACACCGGTATCGTCCGCCGTACGTTCGAAAGAGACAGCAGCCGGAGCCGTGGTAAACTACAAAGCGAGAAAATCGTCTCGCGAGAGAGCATCGGGCGCGCGCGCGGAAAAGAAGCGGCAGAACCCGCTCTTATCTCTTTATTCTCTCGGCTCGGTAATCGTCTGCACCTTCCTCCCTTCCTCTCATTGGCGCGCGATAAGAGCAAAGTAAGTCGGAAGTAGTCGGTGCTCTCGAGAAAAAATTTATCAAGATTATCGCCTCTTCATCTTTTAATCCCGCCGCCACGAAATTATTTCTAAACGCGTCGAGAGAGAGAATTTCGTTATTTGCATTTAAACTGAGAGAAGCATCCCAGAGAATTATTTATAAACACGCTTTACCTCATAAACAGTTTTCTCCCGTTTCGTCGGTGAACAGAAAAAAAATATTTCGTCTCGATGGTGTTTTTCTAACTTTCGGCACGACGAATATACGTGAAAACGGGAGAAAGAGACAGAATGAGAAAAAAGAAAAATATCGAACATATAAAATATCAGTTTTGGATTGTATCGTATTTGTTGAACAAATACAGGGCTACTACATTTATCTACGAGGGATCTCCGATTCATGCACAATTCGGGCACTGAAACATCGCGCTTCTCCGTCGCGATTTTCTCTCATGAGAGAAAGAGAGAAACAGAGTTTAAAAATATTAATTATAAAGATATTTAACGTCCGGCGGTAAATAAATAAAGGCGTTCGTCATTCCCTTTTTGGTTTCTATCAAAATCGAAATTTTGGCCCTATGTTAAAACTTGAATTTTACAGTAGGAGCTAAATTAGCAAAGTAGGTTTAATTCTAATGATATAATTTATTCCTACTTTGATGACGTCCGAAACTTCTCTTTTCATTTTTTTTCAAAATAGGTTGTATTATAAGCTTCAGAATATCAAAATATATGTTGAATGGAATAGTGAGACTGAAAGTAGGACCAAAATTTCGATTCAGATAAATTAAATAGAATTAAAAGAGGTTGACAACTTCTGTATGAATATACAAGCTCTCAAAAATATGCGACTTATTAAACATATAAATAGGCAAATAAGAGCGAAACGTTGATCTCGGTGCGAACATTTCTACTTGACAACATCCGGCGCATTGACACTGTCAAACATTATCTTCCCAACATTTAGTAGAAATACTCGATCAGCGTTTGGCTCTTATTTGCTTATTTATACGTTTAATAGGTTGATATAGATTTCCGAGTATAAAAATTCTGAGTATATAAAGTTGTTGAATAGAATAGAATAGGCTGAAAATGGAATCAAAATTTCGACTTAAATAATGTAAGTCAACTTCCTCGCTCGCCATTCATTTCGTGTCTCATCGCGGTTCGTATTTAAATCGACCTGCGCGATTTGACGCGGCGGCTCGCGGCAAAAGCGTTCGCAATTAGTTTCCTTGTATTGCTTAACCCCGTCCGGCCGGAAAATTATACGAGTTTCCGAGTACCGCACGATTCGAACGACTTGACTAATTCGGGTCGTTTGCGGTGCGCCACGCGCTTAGAATAAGCGCACACGTTCGCACGTGGCCAAGCCGGATGTGTCGATGTGGCCGACGTACCGGCTGGCGGGATACACCCGCGCATTCCCCCTTTTCCCTTCCCGCCTCACTGCGAGCTGGCCGTTTCTCGCTGCGAGTTAGAAACTTTGAGCGCGCAAGCATGGCGTCGATTATCGTCAAGCGGCAGCCCGACGAGAAAATCGCGCGAGACAGAACGAGCAGTTTGACAAACGGAAGTCAGCCGCGGGACACGGACGGGAATAAATCTTCATTCCTGTTTGCGACTGAGGGCCAAGGCAAAACCAAGGGGCGCGTGCGACAAAACATCCCGACAGCAAAGAGAGCATGGACACGAGCGACAATGTTTCACCGGGGAATAGAAGTCGCGGAGAAAAAAAAAGCGGAAAGAGGTGGACGGGTGAGGGAGGCTAGATCGATAAATAGATAGCCAGCTGGAATTACTTGTTCCGTCTTGGGATCAAGGGGACGGCTAGTGTCCATAAGCTCATGTTCTTTCCTTTCGATCGTAAATACGTTCCACTTTGATCTGTCAGTTGAGTTATTCGGTCGCCCGAAACGACCGTAAAAAATAGAGAGAAAAAAATATAACGAGCAACGATCGATCCGTGACGAAATATTTATACGTTTCGCTGAGCAGCTGCAAAATATTTGACAGCCCATTTAATCTGTAAATCCGAATTCGTTGTTTCGTTGTAGCCGAATTCTCGCAAAGCTTTGAATTAATAAGAAAATTGACAAAACAGCGGCGCGAGTAAACGACCGAAGCGGGTCAATGATCTGCACGTTCATGAGTATGCAGTCGCGTATATGTATAATAAATTGGAGGATATACATGCATGTTTCAAGGTTGAAACTAATTTGCACTAATTTGTTCTAGCTCGTTTGTTTCGAGGCAATGGGTCCGTGAAATGTCATGTTTATTTACGATATTCTTCTTGATGTTGCACGAAAAGAATATTATAGTATTTTTCTCTTTTGATATAATTTTTTTTCAATTTCTAGCAGTGCAGCAATATACTGTCAATGAAGTGTATCTGCTGAGGAACATAGTACATTTTTTAATAACACATTTCAATTCCTAAAATATATAAGTACACTGAGAAAAAGAATATCTAAGAAGTAAAAAATATTTATTCAGCGGGTACTGAAATAACATATTTCTATTTATATACTAATATAAAATATTTTTTCAAATAAGAAAATATATATTTTCTTAAAATCTTCATGTTCTTAAAATCTTCATGTTCATTTCAAACTGTTTGTGAAAGCAATTATTTATTCTATTTAAATAAAAGAATTTAGATTTACATAAATATTGTTAGTACCTAACGAATAAGTGCTTTTTTATTTTTTAGATATTTTTTATTTCAGTGTAATACATATGAAATAAAAAAATAGTCAATTACTGCAGAATATCGACTTATTTCTTGGTTACAAAAAATTCTATATATTTATACTGTAATCTATAGTAATTTTTACTATAAAATTCTCTTCGTGCAAATTTTAACATGTCTTTAATGTCTTTAATATGATAAGAAATATGTAAGAGAGAGTGACGATAAGTTGTTCCACTTGATAAATTTTGCATGGTAAACAATTTAGAATATTTCATTCAGATGATTAGTTTTCTTGTTGACGAAATATTTTGACATGCTGGCTCGCGCATTGATTTCCGTTGGTTACACAAAAACTGAATTATATCAAAGATACGGTAAATAAATGTAACTCGAGACGTACGTATCATTTGCCTCGTTTCATGGACTTAATATTGACCGTATAACCAATATTTCAAATGCATTTAATTATATTTTATATATAATTTAATGAGACTCGGCGGAAAAAGAGAGAAACTTAATGTCGTTTACCTGCACCCGTCACGCCACTCAACATGTGAAGACATTTATAGACACATTACCTCGAAACATAAAATAAAGTTGTCAACACTCACCGACACGATGCAGAAGCGGCGAAGTTGTAGCGTCTCTGCACACATATTGGTCTGCACATAAAAATATTTCTCAGATTATGACAGCGCACACACAAAATAACTAATATTTCAAAAAGTAATTATTGCACGCGCATTGAGTTTATTTTCGATAGAATTTTCATAAAAAAAAATTATGTTCTCTCTCTAAAATATCGAATAAATATTTTGTTAACATTACGAGAGTGTGTATCGAAAATGTTCGAATTATTTTAAATATATTACTGCCAAATATACCCAGAATATAAATGGCACGTAAAGTGCGCAGTTACAATCGTCGGCGGGAATAAACCAAAAGTTAATCACTCAAACGATTAATCGATTTAACAAGTTAATCAAATAACAATAAATAACAAATAACTCACCTTGATCGTTGCCTCGCCGATGCCCGATGCTCCCCGAGCCTCCTCCTCCTCTGTACCATCTGCTGGTGTGTATAGGTACACACACACAAGTCACTCGCGAGTCGAAAAAAAATACTATTTATCACGGTTCGCCGTTCAATTGCCATATGACGATCGCGCAAACTTTGGACAGTCGGACTGATTAAAGGTAGTAACACTTGTCCTCGACGAGTTTCCTAAAGTCCCCCATTCAATGGCAGAATTTGTTTCAGGGGATACGTTTCCCTGTTGGATACGAAATGCGTTATAAAACTTATCGAGCACAAGTGTCGCCGCCTTTGACCAGTACCGCACTCCTGGCGGCACGCGATGAGCACTCTGCCCTGGCAGTTTTCGACGAAACAGAGAGACGTACGACGCGGGTCGTAACGAGGGTCTGTGCGCAACATACACGAACAAGGACGCGACGGGCGTAACGGTCGACCGAGCGACAGAGAAAATTCGGGAGCCGCGTTGCGGCTTCACACGTCGCGACACGACCTCGGACGCGGCACTTCCGACAGTGGTGGCATGCGACGCGCGTTTCACGACATTCCGACGGCGGATTCGCGCGAAAATACGGTCACACGGGAGGAAAATCCGCGCAGCACGCGCGACGTGACTCGCGATTGACCGTAATGGACGGCACGATGATGCAAGACGCTCGAAATCGCGCGTAGCCAACTTCACGCGGCACAGCCGCGCCGTATCTGTCCCCGCGGTACACATTTTCCTGTACTTTTCGCACTCGAACGGCGGAACATGCGAGTGTTTATCCGTATATATTATTTATACAAATACGTGTTGTTAAGAATTGAGATAATTGAGGCAAACAGACGCGCGAGCGGAAATAACAATGTGCAAATATGCGCACGCGAGAGGAAGGAATTATCCGGGAACACGACCGCCTCCGTTCGCGATACGGCAAGCGTGACACGTTACGCTTTAACGAATGACCGACTCACCAATTTTATGCTGTGTGCGGTTGACAAATATCGAGACGCGGGATTAATTACGACTGCACTTACTGATTAAAAACGCGTCGCGACGCCGCTCCCAGCCAGCCAGCCAGCCAGCCGGCGAGCCACTCGATATTCACTATGTTTCGCTAATAACCGAGAAACTCGAAAATAGTACCGCGAACTTCATACCGGTGCCATACGACACGATACACCGATCCGACGACTAGTTACGTCTGTATTCTATGGCTTAACCGCGGCTGCACTAGAATCTTCTCTTCTGCTCTTTTTTTCCATCGAGTCTCGACTGTATATCCGTTTCAAGTATCCGTAAGTGTATACCGGTTCAGTGACAAGAAAAACAGACTTATTCATACGCGATAGATCGTGAAAACGCCGATCCGACTTCCAATGTTACGCGCGACGCGCTAAATGCCGGAGAAATACGATATGTAACGAGTTAAGTAACGCGATGAAATACGTATTGAATCGTCGCGATCGTCTCCCCGTTTGAAACATGAGAATCCTGCGAAAATACCGGCTCTCTCACGTATTGCCTCGCTCACGCTTATCTAATCTAACCTCGTCTGGACAATCTCTCGACACCGCGCGCGCGTCTCACGTTTTGTTAATCGCGGTCGCGAATTAATAGTAGTGAATTACTCGCGGGTCTCCTGACTTAATTGCGTTCAACCGTCTCGTGGTATACAGAAATAGGTCGCGATCGCTAAGCGAACGTTAATCACGCGCAGCGAGTCGCGCCACCACTGTCTCTGCCCGAGTCCGCGCGGGGAATGACGCGCGGTGTTTACATAGCATCCGGCCGACTGATCGGGCAAAAACAGGAGCCGGGCGTTACGTCATACGATAACAATGAGTCTGTAACCTTATTGACGGTTAAACGGACGAAAGATACAACATGCTCACGGTGGCCGATTGAAACTTCTGGAACCTTAGATTGACGACGTCAGGAGTGAGAAAACGTAAGAGAAAAATTCTTATGTGTCATTTTCAGTAAGGTGGATTTTTTCGAGACAGTCCCTATTTTTCACTGTTTGTTCCGAATTTTTTCGAGTGCTATTCGGGACACCGATTTGTCATCATTTTCAATGATTGTCAAATAATTTTCGGACTTTTTACCCCCCTCCCCCGTCCCCCGCTTTATACATTTATGAAGTGTCCCGAATTCAGAGCTGGAAAATCTCGTCACTTTATATACACCGCGAGGAGGAACGAGAATTACTTACAAATGACGTCTTGACGATCGCCCCGACGATCGTACATCGCTATTCTCGACACTCCCGATACTTATTTCCGCACGAGACTTACTTTCGACGGGTTAAAGACGCGTAAAATGCGGAGCGATGTCGATCGATGTCGATCCACGGCGGTTGCTCGATGCAGAAAGATCGAGAATCAAGATGGTCGCGCGATTGTTGATTCGCGCTGAAAATATACGCCAATATATGAACGGCGCCGCCGCCGAAAAGAACGCGCTCTATGAAATATTTCTCTCTCCGTATTTCTTTTCCTAATAAACTGACGCAACCGCCCAAATATTCTGTATCTCTCTCTCTTTCTCTCTGATTGTCATCGTATTTTTAATTCCCGTTCAATAAACCCGACGATCGCCTGATTTTATTGCTACTTGAACGCGTCGATGTTTTTAGCAAATGTAAGGGACGTCAGCGCGACACGTCGCGACAAGCACCGACGAGGAGAAACGAGAAGATTACTTACAAATGACGTCTTCACGATACGCCCCGGCGATCGCACATCGTTATTCTCGACACTCCCGAAACTTATTAACGCGCGAGACTCACTTTCGATAGATAAAAGACACAAGAAACGCGGGACGATGTGGATCGATGTGTACCCATGGCTGCTGCTTGGCGCGAAAAGATCAAGTATTTCGCGCGATTCATTACCAACGCCTAGATTGAACCTAGATTGAATAACCACGATGACAACCTCATAATGAGAAACGAACGCGATTGGTCTAGAGTGGTTAGTAAGGAAATAAGAATAAAAAGAATAAGGAATAGAGAACAGAGAATAAGGAATAAGGAATACTGAAAACAAGAAATAACTATTCCTCTATTCCTCTATTCTGCAAATTAGGTTTCATTTTAATATTGAACTGTTCCCTATTCTCTGTTTCCTGTTCTCTATTCTCGATTCCCTATTTCTTATTCTTTTTATTGTGCTCAGCTCTTAACTCGAACAAGTAGTTAAGACGTTCGCCGCGGCGCGCCGTACAGATCGCGTCGTTGTAGACGCGCGACCTCGTTCGCATCACTGGCGCGTTCACATTCATGCACTTTTGGCACTTTCGGCGCGCTAATGAACTTTTGGTGTACGTGATTGACAGCGCGCGCGTCTGCGATCTTTTCATGCCGAGCAACTGCCATAGACACAACGCTCCATATTCCATACGTCTTTCACTTGTGTCCTGTGAGTCTCCTGCGGAAATAAATATTAGAGTGCCGAAAACAACGATATGCGGTCTTCAGGACATATCGTAAGTGCATTATTACGGAGTAATCTCCTCCCTTCTCGATACATACAGCTATGGTGACGTCCCGATTTCACCCTTTGTCCAGAATTTTTTCGAATACTATTCGGGACACCGATTTATCATCATTTTCAATAATTATCAAATTTTCGGATCTTTTTATCGCCTCCTCCCGCTCCCCGCTTCATACATTTATAAAGTGTCCCAAATCCAAGGACTAGGAAATCTGGTTACCTTATTTTCAGGTACACTCGAACATTTATTTGCGGAATGAAAGTTTGCTTTACAGAAATAAACCTTATTTCATGGCAACAGACTTTACATCTTGAAAGTAAATTTTCAAATACTTTTTTCTCAGTGTAAAAAGATATTTGAATAAAAGAATATTTCACAGATCGCTTGAGCTTTTTGTAAAATGCCTGGAAACTGTTCTTTCTCCCTGGACAGTTAATAAATAGCTTTAAAATTAACATATCCCTTTCCTCATTATTCTGCTACGTTCATTTTAAGACTATTTATTAACTATCAAAGAAGAAAGTTTTCGGAATATTTTACAAGCATTATCAAACAATCTTTTTCAAGTATTCTTTTATACAAATATCTTTTTACACTAAAAAATAATACTTGACAATTTATTTATAGGATATAAAATTTATTTCTATAAAATGAGATTTATTTCTGTGAAATAAATTTTTATTCCATAAGTAAGTTTTCAAATATCTCTCTCTCTCTCTCTCTCTCTCTCTCTCTCTCTCTCTCTCTCTCTCTCTCTCTCTCTC